CTGGTCTTCTGAGAGTGAACCTGGTACAGGCCCAGGTGGCTCCAGAGCACTCTGGTCAGAGAGGAAGTTCCTGACTTCAGGGCCTCGCCAGGACCTGCACTGGGAAATGGGGAGTAGGGTGTCTATCTACTCTGTCACTAGCCTGGATCTGTCATTCTACTACTGGGCAAGAGTCAGACCGTGGCTAGGTCAGGGCCACACTAAGAACCGTGTGGCCTCTGTCCCTGTCCAGCACTGTGTGGTGAACACTGACAGCATGAGGCCAGCCTTCCTGGTGACAGGGTTAGATCCTCCTCTCAGGGACTAGTGGGCACTGCCATGCCTCTGCATGTGTCTGCATTGTCTCTCCCCCCACAGCCAGCAGTGCTGGCTTAAGGGATGGTTTGGGGGCCAGCAAGTGGCATTGTGGGTAAGGTATTAGAGTCCCACATGGCTGATCACAGTTCAAGTCTTGGACCCAGCAGCTTGAAACTCACTCCAGGTGCATGTGCACACATTCCCAAAATCCCAAGAGGAGAAGGGATTGTGGCATGGCTATCCCCCCAACGGGGGGGATTTTTTTACTCTCTCTGTATCTCTGACGAGTACACATGCCCTGTAGCAAAAAAATCTCTTAAAAAAAAAAAGATGGTTTGACCATGCAGGGATGACCTGTCTTAGGACTCTGGGAGACCAGGACTGCCCCACCAGTCAGTCACTCTCCTGCTCTCTCTTCCAGACAAGCAAATCGACCTGAGCACAGTGGACCTGAAGAAGCTCCGAGTGAAAGAGCTGAAGAAGATCCTGGACGACTGGGGGGAGACATGCAAAGGCTGCGCAGAAAAGTCCGACTACATCCGGAAGATACATGAACTGATGCCTAAATACGCCCCCAAGGCAGCCAGCGCTAGGACTGATTTGTAGTCTGCCCGGTCCCTGCTGCACCTGAGGAAAAACAATTCCACTGTCTCTTCCCAAAACCGCCTTTTGTAATTTATTTTTTAAGCGGGCTCCTGACAATATCAGGTGTGAAGCCTGGAGCTTTCCTGATGATGCTGGCTCTCCACAGCCCCCCGGGGGGCTCTACTTCCTTCTGTTGCTGGTTTACTCTAGGACTTCAAAGTGTGTCTGGGATTTTTTTATTAAAGGAAAAAATTTCTAGCTGTTCTTGGAGAATTAAAATGAATACTGAAATAACGAGGTACCACCTAGTTTTTTTTTTTTTTTTTTTTTCTTCAGGTATATTCCCATTTGTAATCTCAACCCATCGGTGCTGAACATAGCAGGCTGGATTCCCCCACCCCTTGATACGATGTCTGTCTTACCCTTTTGCCAGGGTCTGGAGGTTGCCTGCTTCTGGGCACGGAAGATGGCGTCAGGTGTGTGGGAGGGCCTCACGTTGCCATCACGCAGTACAAGCAGGACGGTGGGTGTGGGGTGCTGTTTTGCAGTGAGGACTTAAGTCAGAGGTGGTCAGCGCTGCTGCTACAGAAGCTCTTGGCCAGGCTGCCTCCTCACTCATCTGGCAAGGTTGAGGTTCTGAGGGCTTGGGTTTTAAAATAGCTGCTCCCTGGCACTGGTGCTCAGGAAACCCAGTTGTTGGCGTGAGCCATGCGGAGACACCTGCTTCTCTACCTGCAGAGCTCACCTAGAGGCAGGACTAAGAAACTGCTTTCCAAGGACTCAGTCTTAGATCACTTGACTGTGGTTCCTGGTTCCTAAATTAAGTGCGCCTGTGGGCGGCCCACCGGTGTTTCTTGTTAAGGCCTCTCCCTCTGCACCTGCCTGAGCTGCTCCAGAAGCTGTTTGTGGGAGGGGAAGAGCCGGCCTGAATTGGGCCAGGTTCTGCATCGGCTCCAGCAACTATCCTTGGAACGTGAAAGCTTCCTCAGTGGGCTTGGGCCAACACTTGCCCTCACCTCACAGGGGTCCCCCCTTTCCTGGAGGTGGACAGATGAGCACTGGCAGCAGGTAAGCTGTGGAAACTGCTGGTGGGTGATGCGTTTGTTCGGCGTCTTGGCTCCCGGCTCCGGCCTTCTAGTATGCTATCTGTGGGGATGTCCACAGCAGAGTGAGAATGGTGGCGTGTTCATGGTTTCTGTGCCGCGACCCAGCCAGGTCTTCCTGTATGCACAGGCATTGTCTTCGACCTCTTGAGAGATGGTTGGAAGCAGATAAGAGTGCGGGCGATGCCGCGGATGTGGGCCATGGGCCCTGGACAGGTCTAGGGATCAGCGTGTTGGTCTTTTTCGGGGCTTTCTGCCTGAACCCCAGTCAGGAGACTACCCATCTGGGAATGGGAGTCCCTTAAACTTGTTCGAGATTGGGGGATGTCACATGAAGAGGCCGCTGGGTCTAGCCCTGGCGCCCACGGAGGGTGCCACTCCTGCTCCAATGAGCGCGGGTCCCAGCGCTGGCAGGAGGCAGGACTTACGTGGGGCTGCGAACTCCCTGGGGAGTATGAGAACTAGGCCCAGCTGGGGTCCAGGGGAGTGCAAATCAACCAGCCCGGCTCTCACGAGGGCTCCCTTCACGCCATGTAGCAAATGGCCGCGTGGTGGCGCCAGAGCGCGTAGCCCGGCCCAGCTCGCCTGCTGCGGTGCGGTCACGTGACAAGGAGCGGCGCCGGCCGATGACGCCCGCCCGGCACAGATTTTGCCCCGCCTAGCGCAGTCACGTGAGCTGGGCGGCGCAGCCTGATAACGCAAGGCCCAGCCCCTCGGCGCCGATCCCGCC